TTCCAGACTGAGGTGAAAAAGTACGGAGTAAACAGCTAGGGGGGTCGTTGGAGCGGATCCACTGCTCACCCTCCTAAGTTGATCTCTGTTCTTGATATATGATCTTCTATTTTTAATATCGAGAGTTAGCTCAAGGTCAAAGTCAATACGAAGGGTACAGGGTCGCCTTCCAAGAATGGCGAGGTTAAACGGCACAGGACTGTACCATTCCGCACCAGATGCTCAAAATAGTGCATAGCTCCAATCGCGAGCACATCGTGACGGGCAGTCTCGGCATGATTCCAGATGGCAGTGTCGTAGCTCAGCTGCAAAAGGAAAAAATTTTCAGCCTTGACAGCTCCGTTGAAAGTGCAGATAAACTGTCCTCAACATTCCTCTTTGATTTCCGTTTTGATTCTGCAATTCAATAAACCCTCCCCATACCCTTCTTCCCTACACCCGGTGTCCGTGACTAGTACCTCCGTACCCCATCGAGGATCTGACTTGGATCTGTAACAGGGCAGCCCACTCCACTGACCTAGAGGGAAAAGAAGAAAAGGTGCCCCAGTCAATGTCGTCTTAGTTCGTGCGAGGTTTATAATATATTCTCCGAGATCTTTCTCTTCTACCTCTTCTGCTCATATCTGAGCAATTCCTGGTTTTCTGGTATAAACATCCGGGCAACATGGCGTCGAACGACATCCTCTGTGCCTCGGTGGAAGACCGGACATTTGGTCCATGGGCTCAGCAATGCCGTGGAGCATTTGATTTCACTCTCCTCTTTGAGGAGAGCATCCTCACATTGGTACCGTTATGCATTATGATCCTGCTTGCCCCGTTCCGAATTGCATATCTTTTCAAGAAAAAGCGGAAAGTCGAGGACACTCCCTTGGTTCATATGAAAATTGTAAGTGCTTTTCATATTGTTATCCTGCTGCGAGCTGGGTATTTCAATTCGGACGGTATACTGACGGACGATCGCCTGCTATAGACGTCTCTCGCAGCATATTGTGGATTGCAGCTTTTGCTTGTAATTCTTTGGACCCGTCCCGATGTCACTAGAACTCAGCTCTCAATCGCAGTCAATGTCTTGACGCTCGTTGGTTCCATTCTATTCATCCTCCTCTCGTACGCGGAACACTTGTACACGACAACGCCGTCTTTGATGCTCAACGTATTCATCTTCTTCACACTTATTTTTGACGTTGCTCGAGCAAGGACTCTATGGCTGCGAGATGCTAATGGAACCGGCGAAATCATTGCCTGGGGCTTCACGGCCACGGTTGCTTTGAAATTTGTCATCTTGATCCTGGAAGTTACCGAGAAGCGATTTATGCTCAAGCCTGAGTACAAATCCTATCCTCCGGAAGCCACTGCTGGTATCTTCAACCGAAGTTTCTTCGTCTGGCTGAACGCTCTTTTCTGGGAGGGATTCTCCAAGCTGCTCTTCGTAGAAGATCTATACGAGCTCGACAAACATCTGCTCTCAGAGCGCATTCATCAGCGCATGAATGACGCATGGGAAAAAGGTACGCTTTAGCACCTTGCAATTTGCCGCTGGGTATCTCATGCTTTGTTGTTGCTAACATTTCATCGCTCCTTTGTAGTCAAATCTAAGACGCCAAACTCGTTGCTCATGGTGACTTTCAAGACGCTCAAATGACCGATCTTGTCCATTGCATTCCCACGTCTCTGCCTGATCGGCTTCCTCTTTGCCCAGCCGTTCCTGTTGAACAAGGCGATTCTGCTTGCCTCCGAGCCGATTACCGACGACACGACAAACCAAGGATACGGACTTATTTTCGCTTATGTCATAGTATACGTCGGCCTGGCTGTAAGTATTATTAACCGACCCCTTTTGCCCTTGTACCGGTAGCATTTGGAATCTTCGGCTAAACTCTGGGTTCAAAGGTTACCATGGGCCAATACCAGCATTTGACTTACCGAGCCATTACCATGGTTCGCGGTGGGTTGATCTCCATGCTGTACCGGAAGGCAACGGACATCAACATCCAGGACGTCGACCCAGCCTCTTCCATGACCCTCATGAGTGCTGATATTGAACGTATCGTCCAAGGATGGCAAATGATGCACGAACTGTGGGCTGCCGCCGCCGAAGTGGGTATCGCCATCTTCCTCCTCCAGAAGCAGCTCGGAGTCGCCTGTGTTGTTCCAATCGCCGTGTCAATTCGTACGTATTTGCCTTGAACAGCTTCCCTGATGAGGCTCTCCCATCCCCTGGTGCGACACCCCTGAGTGGAGTTCAGTTCCAACGTGCTAACGTTTTGACGCTATAGTTTCACTCTTCGGCTCGGTGATTGCAATGAACTTCGTCATGGCTCACCAGGCTTCCTGGTTAGAGGCCATCGAGAGGCGTATCTCTGCGACCAGCGTGATGCTGAGTTCAATGAAGGGGGTGAAGATGTGCGGTTTGAAGGAAGTTCTCCTGACGAATCTCCACAATCTGAGACTTGAAGAGTTGAACATCTCCAAGAAGTTCCGTAAGCTTCTGATCTGGAATATGGGTTTCGGTAAGCAGTCCAGTTCGAGATGGATTTTCGCTATGTGGCTGGCAGGCTGGCTAACGACGAATCACTGTAGCATTTGTGTCTCAAATCTTTGGTCCGATCATCACTTTTGCCGTGTTTGCTGCTATCAACAAGAATGGAGGCGGCAACGCCATTCTGGACATCAGCCGTGTGTTCACCTCCCTGTCTCTCTTTGCGCTGCTGTCGGAGCCCCTGCAGGCCTTGATTATGTCCCTGGTGACATTCCTGGGCTCCGTCGGATGCTTCACCCGTATTCAGGAGTTCCTTGACAAGCCATCCCGCGTTGATTCTAGACGCCAGCCAGAGCAGCGGATTACCAACCTATTCAACCTTAGCCAGCAGACCCTGGCTCTCTCCGATAAAGACGCCTCCAAGAACGGCGAGAAGATCAACCGCAGCTCCGCCAGTCCAACCATCAGGTCAACAAAGTCCGGCGGTTCCTTCCCACTCAAGGGATTGACCCATTCCAACCCAGAAGTCGACGCTGTTGCTATCCGCGATGGCTGCTTTGCATGGGAGAACGAGAAGGGCGCCGTCCTCAAGTCCATCAACATCAACATTCCTCGTTCCAAGACTACTGTCATCGTCGGTCCCGTTGGCTGCGGCAAGTCGACTCTGCTCAAGGCTATCCTTGGTGAAGTCGTCTGTCTCGGCGGCGTGGTTGAGATTGCCTCCAGGAACATTGCCTTCTGCGACCAGACTGCCTGGCACATGAACGAGTCTATCAAGGACAGCATTGTCTCTGTGCTGGACTTTGATGAGAAATGGTATGCCACTGTTGTCCGCGCCTGTGGTCTGGCGCAGGATCTTCGCCAGCTCCCTCGCGGTGACCAGACCATCGTGGGCAGCAAGGGTATCGCCCTGAGTGGTGGCCAGAGCCAGCGTATTGTAAGTTCTCTTCCCCGTCCTCACACACAAGTTCGTCCATGGACACTGTTTTAACCAGACCATAGGCCCTCGCCCGTGCCATCTATGCTCAAAAGGACGTCCTTATCCTCGACGATGTTCTCAGTGGAATCGACGCTGCAACTGAAAATCACATCTTCCACAGCCTTCTCGGAGAAGAGGGACTGCTTCGTCGACTCGGGACCACCGTCATCATCACCTCGTCTTCGCGTAAGTTGAAACCCGATGCCGTAACAATAGGCGAGATTATTCTGGCTAATAATAACCGTGCAGCCAAACGTATTCCTTATGCCGACCATATCATTGCCCTCAGCTCAGATGGCCGTGTCGACGAGCAAGGTAAATTCGAGGAGCTCAACGTATCCGGCGGATATGTCTCGAGTTTCAACCTTCCCTCGCCCGACTGGCTGTTCAAGCCTGAACCAGAACGACCCCTCCCTGCTCCGGCTGTTATCGATGAGACTCCCCAGACGTCGGACGAGCTCGAGGCTGCGGCTAACCGACGAATGGGCGACATGGCCATCTACCTGTACTATGCCCGGTCGATTGGCTGGCCAACCACCATCGTCTTCATGTTCTTCATCAGCGCTTTCGTCTTCTGCATTTCCTTCCCTAGTAAGTCTTCTTCCTGTTATTCTTTCTCCGTGAGACGGATGCGTGCTAACGGCAGTAGCTATCTGGTTGAAATGGTGGGCTGCGTCCAACATCGAGGCTCCATACGAAAAGCTCGGCTACTACCTGGGTATCTATGTCATGCTTGGTGTTCTTGCCATCATCTCTCTCATACTCGGGTCATGGCAAATGATCATCACCATGGTTCCAAAATCCGGCGAGGCCTTCCATTTTACCCTGCTCAAGACTGTCCTGTCTGCTCCTCTGTCATTCTTCTCGACCACCGACCAAGGTGTGACCATGAACCGATTCTCTCAGGATCTTCAGCTCATCGATATGGAGCTCCCCGTCGCTGCACTTAACACCTTTGCAACCTTTGTTCTGTGTTTCGCCCAGATGGTGATCATTGGCGTCGCTTCGGTGTATGCTGCCATTGCTTTCCCACTTATCATCGGTACTCTGTACATGATCCAGAAGTACTACCTTCGTACATCTCGCCAGCTCCGGTTCATGGACCTTGAGGCCAAGGCACCGCTATACTCTCAGTTCACCGAGTGTCTCAACGGTCTGGCCACCATCCGTGCCTTTGGATGGCAGGAAGCCCTTGAGAAGAAGAACCGCAAGCTGCTCGACCGTTCCCAGAAGCCCTTCTACCTCCTTTTCTCCGCCCAGCGATGGCTGACTTTGGTCCTCGATATGGTTGTTGCCGGTATTGCCGTGCTGTTGATCGTCCTGGTCATCAAACTCCGAGGCACTATTAGCGGTGGATATGCTGGTGTTGCTCTGCTTAATGTTATCCAGTTCAGTCAGTCGATCAAGCTGCTCATCACCTTCTGGACCACTCTCGAGACGCACATTGGAGCCATTGCTCGCATCAAAGTGTTCAACGAGACTGCCCAACCTGAGGATAAGGAGGGCGAAAACACTCAACCACCAGACAACTGGCCTGCTCAGGGAGGCATTGAGTTTAAGTCTGTCTCCGCTGAGTACCGGCCGGGCGAACCCATCCTAAAGAATGTGACCCTTACCGTCGCCCCGGGAGAGAAATTGGGCATCTGTGGACGAACTGGAAGGTTAGTTTAATTTCCCTTTTATGCGTGTGTGTGGTATTGCGCAGTATCATTCCCTTTGCCCGTCCCGCAGCGGAGACTAACCATGAGCTTATTTCAACCAAACAGTGGAAAGAGTTCTCTCATCCTAACGATATTCCGCATGCTCGAGTTGAGCGGCGGCAGCATCTCGATCGACGGCATTGATCTCAGCACTCTGCCTCGCTCCGAGATCCGGTCCCGTATCACTGGTGTATCCCAGGACGCCCTCATCCTAAAGGGCTCACTGCGCCTCAATATCGATCCAACTGGCGTCCTCGGTGACGACGCAATGATCTCAGCCCTGAAGAGTGTCCAGCTATGGAACATTGTCAACGAGAAGGGCGGCCTTGACGTTGACATTGACGAGATCCATCTCTCGCATGGCCAGAAGCAACTTCTCTGCCTTGCCCGAGCGATCCTTCGACCCAGCACAATCCTTATTCTCGACGAAGCCACAAGCAAGTATGTATTATTCTTTCCTTTCCCCGTCCTTTGTGTTCAAGTATAAATAAAAGAAGATCATCAAAAGCGGGACCGACTCGGAACGGCCGAACCTTCACCTCGGTCCCCGATGTTCTCTTTTTCATATGATAGCTACTAAATGATTATACGGGACTCCCGACTAACAAACTTGTTTCTTGTAGCGTCGACAACAAGACCGATGAGATCATGCAGCGAGTCATTCGAGAGAAGCTGTCGTCTCGCACCATCATTGCAGTCGCCCACAAGCTGGACACCATCCTCGACTTTGACCGGGTAGCCCTGCTGGACGGCGGCGAGCTGCTCGAGTATGACGACCCATATACCCTGCTGTCTACCGACTCATCTTTCAGCCGCCTGTACGCCAGCACCATGGCCGAGACGCCCGAGGATGTGGAAGTCATCAGTGTCTCGGACGAAATGATCAGCACACCGGGTACTGGACGCAACAGTACGCCGGGACGCAACAGCACATAATCGCCCTTCTTCTTCTTCTCCTCCTCCTACGTCTACTCTTCTTCTCTTCTCTTCTTCTTCTTTTTCTTTTCACCATCATTTTGACGTTCATTTCTTAAAAATATCTTCCTTGGGTATATATACATAGATCGCCATGGCCCTGATCTAAGTAGCAAGGAGCTACTCCGTACTGCTTGTCAGCTTTTACATATTTTGTTCACTTCTCTTCTGCTTGACCTGGCGTTTGGCGGGTATCATTGGTTGGCTGGCTATCATATTCCTTCTTCTTTTTTACTCTTTCTACATACCTGCTTCCTCCTGCCTTTACTCTCCTACAGAGACAATTCTGTTTATTGTCTAATAAATTGGCATATACTTCGTCTCTACCTATACATAACTCGTTACCTTTTTAACTGTCTAATAAATTGACATCACCTTTTTATACATCTACCAACATGTTGCAACCCTCGTAATCCTCATGATCATCTCGTAACTCCCGTCGCCGACCACCATCTTCTCGCCCTTCACGATCGTCTCTCCAACTCCAACTTTAAACTTCTCGTAAACTCGTAAATTAAACTTTTCGCTTCTTCTTTCTTTTCTTCTAGAAGCATCACGTGCAACCGCGTGCTTGACAGGGCCGAAAACTCCAGCCAATCACAGCCAGCTGCGTTCCCGCTCTTCCGACCAATAGGGGCGCTTCATCCCCTTCCGTCCCGCTTACTCAGCGTCGTTGCCCCACCCACCTTGCCTATTCGGTTAAAGCCGGTCTGGGGTACTGGCCAATCAGAGCCACCACAATTCCCAGAGCCGTGGAAGCGAAAAGGGCGAAAAGTGGGTCCCCCATGGCTCGCCCTCGTCCTTTTTTCCGACTCTCTCGACTCTTCCTTTTTGACTTCTTTCTTTTTGACGTCCCTCCCAGGGTTCTTCCTCTCTCACTTGACTGACCTTATCTGCACATCCTGACGTCGTCCCCTCGACGCATCGCTGGGCCAATATCCCTCATACGAGACGCTTATGCTATCCCCCGTACGCCGGGGGCCCATCTCAGGACGACGCGGGTGTTTCAGGCCGCCGTTGGAACACTCTTGACACTGGCTGCAAGACGTTAATCTGTCTGATACAGATATTTACCCGGGGTGGAGACAGATTCAGATCTCGCATTTGAACAACTGCTTCTTTTTCTGTCACGCAATATTATTGCATTGTACCGCATTCCATCGCATCGTCTCGACCAGCTGCAAAGGCGCATCATCTGGAATCGACAATATCATCGACATCGACATCGACACCGACACCGACGTTGACACGCAGGATCGCAGTCGGCCGAACTCACGGTTGAGAATGGCCGTGTTGGCAAGCCCGAAGGGTATCTGAGGATTTACACCGCATACACAACTACCGAAACCGCAATAAATTTATTTTATATCGGCTCATAATATCTACGCCATACGCTCTAACGCCATGACGGCGACACCAGGCACGACAAAGGCACGCAAACCAAGCACAAAGGGCGAAGGCTCGTCTGTTGTACCTCGGAAACGGCGCCGTCGGGCGGTGGGCAGCGGTGCGGCAGACGACTGCTTCACCTGCGCAAGCAGACAGGTGCGATGCGACAGACGGCGGCCCTACTGCACTCCATGCCTTGATATGGGACGGCAGTGCTCGGGATACAAGACGACGTTGACCTGGGGCATCGGCGTGGCCAGCAGAGGGAAGCTCAGGGGTCTGTCTCTGCCGATATCAGGCGCAAAGAAGGTTACCCAGTCGACCGAGCCTCGGAGTGTACCTACCCAACCTGCAGAGGCGAAAGCAGCGGAAAAGAGTCGGCCAGTCCAGAAGGAGACTGAGCCAGCGCCGACACAGACGCCGACGCCGAATTCGCCGTGGTCAGCAATAAACTTGACTCCTCCGCGAAGCACCAGCAGCAGCGGCAGCAACAGCAGCATCACCGGAAGCGTCGCCGGAAGCATAAGCATGACCGGCAGCGCCACCACGAGTGAGCCCACATATGCGAACCTAGCTGCATATAATTCGACCTACAGCCCCATCGACGCGTGCGGCCTACCGCTCTACCGGGCCGTACCTGAGCCACTCAACATCAACACCAGCACCAGCACCAGCACCAGCATCAGCATCAGTACCACCAACACCCACGGCACCAGTGGTACCAGCAGTACCAGCACCTACGTAGAGCTAGGGTCTCCCTATGGCTCTCCGTACAGTGCTACAACCACTCACTTCAGTCCGCTGGAGGTGTATTCCACGCCAGTGACGCAGAAGCGGCATATTGAAGAAGAGCTCGACGAATCAGAGACAGCAGTATCGTCTGACGTGCCGATATATAATGCTAATACTAATAATACCTACCATTACCAGCCATACCCAACCGCGAGCTTTTCGCTGAGCCAACCGTTCTCGACAACATGGATAGGCCGCAACCCGCGCATGCGGTACCTGATCGGGTACTATACGGAGGTCATAGCGCCTGTGATAGTGACGTTTGACAGCCCGAACAACCCATTCAGGCTGTACCTGCTCGAGCTCGCCAAGGACAGCGAGGCACTGCAGCATGCCATCGCAGCACTGTCACTGAGTAACTTGCGTCAGCGGCGGCGCAACTGGGGCCTGCTGTCGACGGGGAAGACAGACCCTTCTAGAAGATCGCTGCAGGCCCACTGCCGGATGACGGAGCGAGCCTTTGAAGAGGCGTTTGGAGTGACGACGCCGGAGGAGCAGCTTCGAGAAGAGTCATACCACAAGGGGATGGCCATACGGTCTATCAACGCCCAACTGGCAGACCCTGTGCAGAGACGGACGGACTCGGTGTTTGCCACGCTGCTGATGCTCTGCCTCTTCCACATGTGTGATACGGGGCTCGCTTCGTTCCGGAGCCAGTTTGCGGGCGTGAAGAAGCTGTTTATGATACGGGGCGCCGGCCGAGACCGAGGGAGCCAGGACTCGGATGTGATGAAGTGGTTTATGCGGATGTTCACCTGGTTTGACACGATGACTGCCACCATCAACGACCGGGACAGCCAGATGAACGGCTGTCTGTTGGAGGTGACTACCTCGGGACAAGACGAGTGGGCGCTGGAGAACCTGGCTGGCTGTGATCCACGCCTATTCCGGGCCGTTGCTCAGTTGGGCCGACTCAACCAGCTCAGCCAGGCCAAGCCGGTAGACAACAGCACTGCTCGGATGGAGCGCCCCGTCCCGACGGCTGCTATCCCTCAGAGCCTAACCCACTATCCGCTACCCACTACTTCGGCTACTAGAAGTACTAATACTGCTAATACCAGCACTCCCCCCCTGGTTGACATGCCAGCCATCCCCGTAAGCCAGCTTGACCCACGCACCGAGTTCTGGCGAGAATGGCACGTCGTCCGGCAGAAACTCGAGAGCTGGCGTCTTCCGGACCTACCGGGCGCCCACGCCCACGCCCACAATCACAATCTCACCCATAGCCCGGCCCCATCCCTTGCATCTACCATCTCGACAGCAACAACATCGACAACATCGACACCCACCTCTACATCTCTCTTTACCGCTCCGCTTCCGGCATCCCCCTTATCGCACGTCAACCCAGCCAACCTGCCCGAGATCTCCAACATTTCCGAGTCCTTCCGGTACTCTGCCTTGCTGTATCTAGAGCGCCTGGCCCACCCGACCACGCCCTCACGCCATCCTCGCTTCCAGACACTAGTCAGCGCGGCCCTGCACTATATACAAGCCGTCAAGTCGGACGTTTTCCTGCTGTGGCCGCTGTTTGTGGTAGGCAGCGAGTGCATGGGCGAGGCCGAGAGGGCCATCATCCGCGAGCGGTGCTGCGACATCCAGCGGGACTCTGGCTTTGTGAACAACCTTTCCTGTCTGCAGCTGCTGGAGCGTATCTGGCAGGAAGAGGATCCGAACGAGAGTGGCTCAGGGGCGCCTCCTTCAGGGGAACTGCTGGGGGGCGCGGCCTTTCGGTGGCGACGCATCATCGACTCGCAACGTCTTACTGATGAGTACATTGTCGTATAGCTATTGTCTACTACTAGTTATCTGCCATCTACCACAATCTAAATCTTCATCTCGTTCATCTCGTTCATCTATCTGTCTGCCCTCTTCCATCCTCCCCGTCTATCTATCCATCACCCCTTAAAGAGCAAGTAAAGGCGAGCCCGGGCCGCAGTTCATGTACCATGACGTAAGCACTCACGTGGCGACAGGGTTAGTAATCGTAACTTTAGTAAGCAGAACTATAGAACTTGCAAGGATCGAAGAAAAGACGAAGAAGAAGAAGACGAGAAGAAGATGGTAGACAGTGGTAGAGGGTGGTAGAGGATGCCAGACGAGCCGCAGCAGAGAGAGTCGATACGAGATTTGTCACTACTTGCTTATTTACCTCCCTCTTCACCGTCTTCTTCGCTCTCGTTCTACATCATCATCGTCTCTGCTTCATGCCCAACTGCTGCCTTGCTGTAACCTTGCTCTTTAAATACTCTGTTACGGAGTACTTTGGCGTCTTTACAGCAGTTCGTCTTACGCCCGGTTACTCGTCTCTCTTCTCTTCTCTTCTCCTGCTGTAGATATAAATATATAGAATGTAAATATATATATATATATATATCTATACGAACAGCGACCGTCGATGACTCTTTCGATGACTCCTTCGCGTCCATCTTTTTTGCTGCCTCCTTTTCGTCTCCTGTGCCCGTATCCACCGTACCGTAACTTACGCCCTGCCACGCCCAGCCTTGCGCCTCGTCCCGTCCCGTAATTACCCAATCTTACCACCTAAAAAAACTCTTCAAAAACTTCTTTTTTCGCACAAAAAAGGAAAATCAAGGAAGGCGAAAAAACTTCTTCTTCTTCTTCTTCTCCTGCTCCTGCTGAGGACAAACAGAAGACACCAGACACAGTCGCAGACAGACAGACAGACAGACAGACACAGACGGACAGGATAGACCGGAGTTGTTCTTTTTTTTTTTTGCTTCATTCTATTCTCCTTTTTTCCCTTGCTATTCGGTTCTCCTGTTTTCTTCCTCGCTGGTCACCGAGACCGGACAGACAGCACAGTCACCGCAAGGCAACCAGCAAAGAAGACGAGAAGGCCTCCAGGACTCGCTGGAGACGCAGAGACGCAGAGACCAGACGCTCGCTGACAAGAAAGACGACCACGCCGTTCCCGCAGACTGAGAGAAGATATCTGGCCTGGATATCGTCTCTCGTCTCGCCCTGCTCGCTGCCTGCACAAAGCCCATGAGCTGCTCCTGCACTGCGCAAATGCTCCCACAGCACCTCCACCACCACCGCCGCGACCTCTGCCTCCTCCCCCCGATAGACCGGTGACTCTGCTGCTTTCTCGCCTGTCAGCCTCTCTGCCTACGGACGCTTCTCTTGCCTGCTCTCGCTCTGTATAACTGGGACAAACGTTCCAACGACTCCACGAACTGCCGACGTTTTGACTGGGTGATGCTCTCATAATGTACCACTATCCCAGCCCCCCGTCCGGGTGGTCTGCGTACGACGGCTACACCCCCCCGTCGCCTCACTACTCCTCCTACTACGGGCCCCCGCCGCCCTCAGCTTCGGCCTCTGCCTCTGCTCAGGCTGCCCAGGCTGCCGCCGCCGCCGCCGCTGCTGCCTTCGCGACCGGCTCCCCCCATGCCACCCCCCGGTCAAAGAAACACGCCTACCGGGCCAGCTTCTCAGCCGGATACAGCCAGCAGACGCCGCAGCAGAACTACCAGTACTCGTGGCAGCCCCCTTACGACCGGCCGGAGTACTTTTCCACTCCTCGCAAGCAGCACTCGCAGCCGCACCACGATCATGTAAGTCCCGATTATTATTATTATCATCACAGTCATCATGGCTACGGGAAACAGACCCAGCACTCTCCAAACCACCACCAGAGACCAAAACATAGACGGAAGATGTCCGTCCCGGACAACGTGTCCGATGACGGCTCCATACCCGGTCTAGATGAGTACGACGGTTACTACTACCAGCAGCCTCGCAGACGGCCTTCTGCTACCACCTACTACACTCGCAGACGCGCCTCGACTAACCACTACCACTATCCCCAGACAAGCTCTGCCGCTGCCGCTGCTGCTGCTGCCTACGACGACCCCCTAGACACCCCCAAACGCTCTCGCGCTCGTCGTGCTTCCACCTTCACCCGCCCAACTCACTCTTCTGCCCACGACCCTTACTCCCAGAGCCACAGCGCCTCCAAGCCCAAACCTTCTGCCTACCACTCTGCCTCCCACAGCCATCACGCCCAGCCTGCCCCGCCAAAGTCGCCCCCGCGGGCCACCGAGGCAGACGCCATCCACCACAACATCCCGCCAGGCTACAGCATCAAGAACTGGAATCCCAAGGAGGCCCCCATCCTGCTTCTCGGCTCGGTCTTTGACGCAAACTCCCTGGGCAAATGGATCTACGACTGGACTGCCTTCCACCACGGCGCCACCGCCCCCATGGCCGACGTCGCTGGTGATCTCTGGCTGCTCCTCATCAAGCTCGCGGGGAAGGTCAAGCGTGCCGACGAGTGTGCCCCGCTCATCCGATCCACCGAGGCCCGCGAGATGGTCGAAGACTTTCTCGAGTCTGGCGAGCGGCTCTGGGCTCGCTTCAAACGACTGCTCAAGGCCTGCGAGCACTTCATGTGGAAGGCCGCTAAGCGTGAACACGCCGCTCGTGGAGGCTCTCCTGCCACCATCACTATGGGCCGTAATGCCGGATGCGAGTTTGTGGATTCCATCTTCGGTCGCGACAGAGAGCTCGAGAACACCGAGAAGCTCATGAACAGCGTCAGACTCTGGAACATGCGCTTCGATGCCAACTGTGGTGAACTCTTGCGGGAGGTCTCAAAGTAAACAAAACAATAATACCCCAAAAACAAACAGAAACACAAAAAGCTATACAAAACGACCAAACCACACATACACACCACAGTTCTACCAAACACTACTATCTTATACTACGCTTTTACCAACATTTACATCTACTATTACAGGATTTCCTTTTGAGATACCCTTACTTACTGGATTGCGTTGCGTTCTGGACGGCATTTGCATGGATGCATTTACATGGACGCGGATCGGACTTTTTCTCCTCCATTATTTTACTATAACCAACCTAACAATGGCCAAAATCTCCCCCCAAGGCCCAAATAAAAAGCTTCGAAAAACACCGAAAAAAATCCCTCCCACACTACCAAAACGAACAAAAACCAAAAACCCAAAAAAAACTACAACCACGACCTGCTTCTTTCTTGGATGCCGTTTGCGTGTTGCGTTTTTAACTTACTGATTTGCATGGCTATAAGATACATTTCATCGCCTCCACAGGCACAAAAGACATACCCTCTTCCTATACCCAATACCCAAACCCCTTTTTTTCAACACCAATACCCGCCTCTAATCCACCATCATCTATCTACCGACCTACTTACACGGTTCTGGCGCTCGCGAGTTTTAACGGGATATATCCTCTTGCTCTGCTCTGCTCTGCTTACTACTGCTTAGTACTTAACTGCTTATTGCTACTGCTTACTTACTTCTGCCTTCAGGTCTGTCTGTCTGGCGTTCTCATTTTCTTGCGTCTTTTTCCTTTTGTGTGTTTTTTCTTCCTGTTTTCCACTCGTCTAATTCTTACTGTCGTTTCTGGCTTCAGTTGGAGTGGGTTGGTCGGGGGTTGGTTCTGGTTTCAGGCAGGCTGGTCTTGTTTGGTTCGGATACCCATTCCATATATACGCCTTCCTCTCTATCTGTCTACCGCTTACATCGTCCGTCTTGCTTTTTCTTTGTTTCCTTTCCTTGCCTCTTCCAATCTTGTCTTTGATACATTGTCTTGCTTTACCGCTGCTGCTGCTGCTTCTGTCCTTACTGCTCGCTATCTTTACTGTCTGTCGTCTACTGTCTAGTTTCTTGATCTTTTCTTCTTCTCCTTGACTGATTTGAGATACCACTTCTGTTATCGTTCAAGCCTTTTCTATTTCTCTTCTATCTATGTCTACTTTCCTAATCTATTTTACCATTTACCTACCTAGTATAACCGCCTACCTCTACTACCTACCATCCCCCGACCTCCCTATCTATCCTTCGCCTACCTACCAACACCTTAACTCCTAACTCCCAGCCCGTAAACCCGCTTGCTTCCCTTTCTCCCTTGTACATAAACAAGCCCTTTAATAGAAAATCATAAACATTGTAATACCTTTAAAAACCACTGTCCTCCCACCTTAGCTCCGTGCCCATGAAATTAAACATCCATACAGCACAGTAAGTATCTGCAGCGCCATGCAGCCCAAGTCACGAACCGGAGATTCCTCTCAGACATACATCTGTTCGCAGATTAAGCAGGCTGCGGGCACGGGCATGGGTTGATAGGCTGGCTGGCTCGCTGCTATCTATAGTACCTAGGTATATAAGATGGCTGATATAGAACCTAGACCTAGAACGTTGCAGCGCAGCACATCATTATCACATATATAAGACATCAATTAATTAACTATCAAACTAGTTAGTAGTTAGTCAAATCGACATATCTTCCGATGAGAAGGTAAGTGGATCAATCCAGAGAACCGTTCCGGGCCCCTTATTTGAATGACTAGTTATCCGTTAAGGCGGAACGGGTTGTTGATGTTGATCTCCCGGATAGTGAGATAACTAGTTAGTACACATGTCGCCATCGACAACTATGGATTTGCTCTCCAGCTATAGCCAGGTATAATAACAAAAGGCCAGATCCAGCCTGAAGGATCCGACGCATGCACCCATGCGGAGCCTGTATGTACTTGAGATAATTGGGGTGTCACTGACTTGGCCTCGCAATTATGGCCTTTTTGGGCAACCTAGTAACCATTGCAATGAACCGTATATTTCCTGTGTTACCCAGTCGAGTCTGCTTAATTCTTCACTTCAAAGGGAAATAGCCTTTGTCGACGAGTGTACTCCCTAAGGGACGTTTGATATCCTTGGAGTGGTCTGTGAGAACTGATATTGAATCGGGGCCCATATATGGATACCTCGGGGGTATCTCCGCCTGCAAATAAAAAGATGCACCAAGGATTATGGTGAGACGCACACCATAGCTACATCCGCAAAATATATATTAGTTGGATCGGAAGTAAAGCGTGATGGGCAGTTAAATAGATAATATGTACTCCATACGAAGTACTCCGTGGACTCCCAACTCTTCCTCCAAACAGCAATCCATTTCCCGTAGGAAACTTGTCGTGTTAGGGATATTCTGCCCAGATAGCTCCGAGTGGAGGTCCAAACTAGACTGTTGTTTGATGAACAAATAGCAGGCTGAAGCTGCATCGAGTATAAAGCTCCAAACCTGCTGGCTGCCAGGATGAGCTCACTCGTTCGGCTCCACCATCTTGACCAGATGATGGTGTGTATAAAAATTGACAAATTTTTGCTGAGTCTGACTTGCCACAAGCTGCTCGGAAATGAAGACAATGTCTTAACTACCGAGAAAGAGACATAGCAAAGCCCAGAAGTCACTCCTTGACGCCCAAGGACAGGGACAGTGGCGGAGACAGGGACAAGGACAGGGAATAACATGTAGCCTCTTCAATTCCTTCGACTCCTTCTTGTCTTTCGCATCAGCCCCTTTAGTTATCTTCGCCTTCCCTTTTTTGTAATCCAAGTATGCATCTTGTCACTGGCTGCCCAAAGCAAGGCCTGACCCCCCGTCGAGCCCGTCCAGGGATCAACAGGCCGAAAACCATCGCTTATCTCGTGTGTTGTGTGTTGCACCGCATGCCTCGCTACTTGACTTCTTCCTTGCACTTTTTTTTCTTCTTCTTTGCTTCCAGCCTGCATTGAGACCGATTCTTTTCGAGACGGGCGGTGCTGATCTGTGGCGCGCGCGGGATATATGCCCTAGTTAACTTGATAGCTATCAACCACACACAACGACATCCAAGGTCGACAGTAGAGAATCTGAGACTACGGCGAATCTGTCCGCCGACTTTCCGCCTGGAGCGGATCTAACGATCAGTCGAAACAAGCCTTGAGGATCAGCCTGGCGGGTTGCACCGCAACCAGAGTCCTGGAATCCCATGGACTGGACAGACCACTCTCGTCTCGTCTCGCCCCATCCGTCTTAGTTACCTGTAAAGGTCGAGCAGGGTGAGAAAAGTTCTCACTTCGAAACTAAAGTTGACCAGGGAAGCCCTCGACTGCCCACATCTTCGTTTTTTTGCTGCAAAAAAGTAGTCCATGAAGTACTGGTACTTCTGCCCCTGGTTCACTCTTCTTTGCAAGTCAATCGTCCGAACCCATGTCTTGTGCATCGCCAGGGATAGCCCTGGCTCTTTCGGGGAAGCAGGATGATATGCAACTTTGAGTCATGTCTTCAATCCAAATGTGAGTATCCTAAAGTACATTCCTTATATTGCAAATATTGCGATATTCCTTCACGGGAAGTATAATGATATATCCCTGGTCTATACTTACGTGATCTCCGCCGTTCAAGGGTTGTCTGTTTGGTAGCCGTCCTGCCGGCATTTTGTTCCGGGAATCTACCATATCGTTGGATCAGATCCCTACTTGTTTTTCAATATTATTCCTCATAACAGCCACATTCGGAGCTGCGAGACCAGGTTATCCAACGGAGGTGTCATTTGCAACAATAACGTAATATTTACCTTTAATTATGTCAATGAAGCCTGCAAACTGCATTCTCAAGGGTCACCCTTCATTCTTCCCAGTAATTTATCTCAAGGTACTCACCTGCCACGGTGAGGGCTGCTGAGTTCCAGTATGAACGGGTATTCCCTGATAGGCGACCAGAGGAGTCACTGAATCCGGTGGTTTTATAAACTTATATACAACGATCCCCGTCAGTGGTTACCAGCCAAGTAACTATTTAGACTGATCGTCCACAGCACTGGATTCTTCGATTTCGCCATCCGATTCAAACACGAGTTGCGTAGCTCTTATCCAGGGTTCGTTCTTGCTGTCTTCACTTGATGTGCCAGGCAACGTACCCAGCAAGTAGTTATGACATAGATAGAAACAGTCTCTCTGCGCGTAAGATGTGCCTCAGTATGGCTTTTAAACGCAGGAAAGATAATTTCCCGTAGCTAACTAGTTAACTGCCTGCTAGTCCGCCCAGTTGCGGCTCTGTGGCGGTTGCCGTTTCTAGAAGCGATGGCGCTTGCTGAGTCGAGGAATAAGCGCGAAGCGAACGCGCCTTCCTAGTTAGAAGATGGCATAACAATACTCTCGAGTCGCTCCTTCCCCCTTTGCGCCTATCAACAACGGGTTATGGCTAACCTCGTTTGGTCCAGTAGACGCCGAAGCTCAGTCAGTTTCACCTTTCCAGACGCTCTGTTGGTTAATTAACTATCCACGAATATATTATGCATTCATCTTCCTGATTATATAGCTGCTAAGGAAACTATTATTGCCCAAGAATGGTATTGAAGACCTGAAACGGCTATTCACAGAGTTTTACAGTCAAATACCAAGTGCGAAGTGTACATAACCACCGATATAATACCCATAGAAAGTCTTGGTCGTTCCTGGAGGGATAACCAACTGAATTGATAACCGAGTTGTATGGAGTGACTTTGATAACTAGGCCCGAGGAGACTCATGGAGGCCTAAGCTTAACTAACGTTCGTACTCTCTTGAGTAGACACTCGCACTCGCATCGATTTAGGAAGCGCATCGGGGTCGGGCCTCCCGGAAAATACAAAATAGTAGTCAATTTGATGGTTAATGCGAGGCTCTCAGCTCGTCTCTCTCAGCCAGGGCTGTAGACACTCTCCCAGATTCGGGGCTTCTCAAATTTTCCAAATTTGTGCAAGTCACCCCTGTCCTCCGAGAGACTGATATAATACCCCATAGGACCAGGAAAGAGAAGCCCATATATCAGTGGATTAGCCGAAAGGATTTTTATTTTTGATTACCAACTGACCCCTCCAGACCACCTTCCCACGATGAGTGACTAACTATATTATAGGGTCTTAAAAAAACCGTTTGAATTTCTTATCATTCTAACTACGAGTTGCGTTCATTTATCAGTATGGACCAGAGTAATTAGCGGGAGATATCGGACTATCTCGTCCTTTTTGACCCTGTCAGCTCGCTAAATTTGGCGAGAGACCCTCTCTTCTGCAATCTACTGATTTTGCAGTTATAAGTGGCTGTTATATATGGTTTGCTCGGTAGATCCGGATGTGAGTCGATCGTTAAGCGACCTGAGCTTGTCTGCAGGATCACCATCAATATCTGCAGCCTTGAAATGGCCTCTTACATACTTCCATACTCTGCTTCGGACACAGAGTATGCAAGGAATATGCGCTAAGAACATGCTTCCGAAGACAGCTCGGTCAGGCAGTAGGCTGACAGGGCCTCGCCTATGATGCATCGTGCACGAAACTCCTCCCCCAAGTAGAATTTTCCTTGCTTTGACATTTTCAACTTCTCTCTCCAATAATAGAATGTGACCATCCGAACTTCATCCCGGTGATGCTTTCGACCCTTGCTCTTTGGGGAGACATATCCGTAAAGAAAACGGGCCTCGTCTGCAGTCATCCTTTAGAAGCCGGAGGTTTTGTACTTGGGGTAAAAACAAGTTCCACTTGCAAGGAGGTCAGCCCAAAGGCATCAATATTATCCCAATCAACGGGAACGATGGCGATGCCAGGGCCTTGATGCTTTGCTGATTTCGCCACGCTCGGATTTTTTAGAAAGGGAGACAGAAAAGGGGTCAGCTCAAGGGTCGGCCAGAGAAAAATGCTTCTCCCATTTCCTTTGGGTATCCGTCTCTGGTCCTATCCAGCGCTAAAAACATCTTGGCCAATTGGGAAGAAAGATCAGCGAATCCCGCGATATCGAATGGTTTTTTTCCCTCTTTTCCGTGAAGGCCATATACTTGCATCTCTCGACTAGAGATCGATAGTTGGTGCTTAGGGCCGGTCTTGTGAAGCAGCTAGTGTTTATAAGGAGCGGCCGCCGTACGGAGTCGTAGTTTATATCAGACCAGTCTAGTGTCAGCAACTCCTCCAGCCCGATTCCCCTCCTGCTATGGGGACACGAGGGGCTAGCGTTTCGGCTTTCCGGGGAAAGCTGTCGTTTTTCCATCTCTCCGGGGATGTTGTGGAACATATCGATTTTATCTCAAGGCAACGACAGTCACAGGCATACACGGCCGCTCTTCTGCTTCAGCGCCAAAATCTCTTCGCCGTTGACCCAACAAGATGGCTAACATCTTCCTCTTCCAGTTGTGCACTCTTCCGCTGCTATATCGAAGTCTAGCGAGCGTTATGGTTGACGGGGTTTTCCCCGAGATCAACATCTTCTCCGCGGTACGATAGCGATAGGCGAACTGAGCGTAAGTAGTACTCCGACCGCCAAATGGCTTAAAGGGGCACCGTCAGCCTTTGCAAGCTAGGTATCACAGACCTGGGGTCTTATATGTGCCGTTGTTATTATCACGTAGTTGTACTCCGTATAGAGTCGCCATTTTCTCCTCATTCCAAGCCCAAGAGCCGCAGATATCGAAATCCGGGGAAGACTCCGACCAAGTACCACCAGGAGCCGCCTTCTAGAAAACAACCAAACGCCGTGGCAAGGCTTGTTTTCGCTGCCTAAGCAGGTCGCGAGCGGGAAACGGACGGTTCCTGTTCCATTCCCGTCCAGAGAAATTCTAGCACCGAACAGAGGCGCCTCTGGTTGGCCTGCCGTGCTGAGTGATAGCCTGCGTCCTGCTCCAGCGAGAATCCACGGCAGCCCTCAGGCTTAACCGAAGTTTCTTCCCATCTCGTTTGCCTCCACTTGCACCGGAAATGCTCCGGGAAAGTTCCCTCTTTGCCGTCTTTCGCCCTGTGTTCCGCCCTGGATTCCAGATCATCTGCTGTGTGTGCATTTGTAGCCGTAGAGTAGTTAACCCGCTGAGCGGAACGGACGACAGGAGCTTCTGCTTCGTCCTCTGTGCCAGCCAGCCCAGCCGTCTTCTCTATTAAAGCCCGACCTGCCGTGATAGAGAGGTAACTAGTTAGCCAGAAACCTCTTCGTCTCGTAAAGCAACAGCTATCCCTGTCAGATCCTGCCGTCGTATCGGTGCAGGCAGTTCGTTGTTAGCTAACCAACTAGCCGGAAGCTCGGAAAAGGCGGCGCACAGAGAGAGAGAGAGAGATCTCGAGATGGCAGACGAAGTCATCGAGCTCGAGGGGAAGCCAGCGCCTGAGCAGGAGGCCGTTGTCATCGACGAGAAGAGAGAGAAAGCATTGATTGCGAAGATTGACAGGCACATCGTCCCGTTTCTCGTTGGCCTGTATCTGTTCAGCTTCCTCGATCGAGGTTTGTTCTTCTGCCTTTGTCTATCGCGCGACTTAACTAGTAACTAGCAAAAAGAAGCCACAAGCTGACAAGTTGACCGTCTTCAGTGAACATTGGAAATGCCAGGCTGTACGGCCTCGAAGAGGACCTGGGGCTGAAAGGAAATCAGTATCAGATTGCTGTGTCCATCCTCTTCATCCCATACTGTGTGAGTAGAACCCCGTTCGTGACAGGAAAGAGACGGCCACCTGCTAACAGCAACGACAGCTCCTCGAAGTCCCCTCGAACCTGTTCATCCGACGATTCACTGCCTCCCGATACATCTCAGTCATAACGACGATATGGGGCCTCGTGGCCACTCTGTCGGGAATCACCCAGAACTTTGCCGGCATGGTTGTCTGCCGCTTCATCTTGGGCGCTGTTGAGGCTGGCCTGTTCCCCGGTCTGATCGCTTACATGACGCTCTTCTACGGGAAAAGGGAGATCGCCCTACGAGTAGGATATCTCTTCAGTGCCGCTGCCGCCGCCGGTGCGTGCGGTGGCCTTCTAGCGTATGCCATCGGGTTTCTGGATGGCACCGCTGGCCTCAAGGGATGGCGGTGGATCATGATCCTCGAAGGTATCCCATCGTTCTTGATAGGGATAGCCACATGGTTTGGGCTCGCAGATGATCCAGATACGGCTTACTACCTTACTGAAGAAGAAAAGGAGATCGGGAGAGCCCGTCGAAGACGTGAGATCGGCCAGACGGACTCCGCGCAGCTGTTCCATGTTGCCGATGCAAAGGAGGGCGCAAAGGACTGGACCATCTATCTCTTCTGCCTTGGCCAGTTCGGCACCGACGCCGTGCTATACGGGTACAGTACCTTCTTGCCAACCATCATCAAAGCCTTCGGAGACTGGACTGGCCCCCAGGTGCAGGCGTTGACCATCCCATGCTATGCTCTGGGTGCAATCACATATCTCATCATTGCTTGGTTCAGTGATCGATGGCAGAAGAGAGCCGTCTTCACCATAGCCTTCACCTGCGTTACCATACTGGGGTATGGCTTGTTGATCTCTGACACCTCCTCGGGCGTACACTACTTTGGCTGCTTCCTCGTCGCCTGTGGTGTTTATGTTGCTGTCGGACTTCCTACCGCCTGGCTGCCAACAAACCTTCCACGATTCGGCAAGCGTGCATTCGCTACCGGCCTGCAGCTCACTCTGGGAAACACATCCGGCATCGTCACCCCGTTCCTGTACCCTCACCATACCGCTCCTCGCTATGTCATGGGCCATGCCGTCACTCTGGCACTAGCGGGCCTTTCCGTCTTGATCTATGGTTTCATGTGGTTCCATTATTCTCGCATCAACAAGGCTCGTGCAGAGGGTAAGGAAGACTACAAGATCGAAGGCATGACTCACGAGGAAGTACAGGAAATGGGTGATCGTAACCCTCAGTTCAGATATAGCACCTAAATCTGCGCCTGTCTTCAACGAGTTGGTTTGAATGAATATATATCTATTTTTTGAGGCACGGATTACTCGTTATCTGGCGTGTCCTCTTCTATGCATGCACCCTTAGATCGTTAGATCCTCAAGATGCATTTCACATACACTAGCATGACTCTCGGTCTAAGAACCTATAGTTGAAAGCAGTTAAATATAAAATGAATCGTTCCATCTTTTATTCATGTGTTCATGATCTTTAGCCTTCCTGCCAGTTGGTTTCCCTCTTTTTCCCCAATTGAGCAATATAAACATCAAAAATACATCACAGGTTGTGAAACAAGGAGCATATTCAACCGCTAGCAGCTCGCCTTCAGGCATATCAACCACTGCAAAACTTCTTGACAATAGTGAATTGGTTCTAGTATCGGTCGAGTTAACCTACAACACAAGGGTCGCTCCACACCATCACCTCACCCGAACTATGGACCGGAACAGGCCGGATCTTTCCAAAAAAATATAACACCAATTTATTCTATAATGTCATGACATCCCCACGCCCGAGATGAGAGTATACCGTCTTCCATGGGCAAAAAATGACATCTAACTATCCAGAAATTGAGCAGAAAAACAGGGTACGTCATTTCACAGGTCTCATGGTTAGTTGGTAGATGGTGAATATTTCTCCACACGATCAAAATCTGTCCCAACAGCCGTCTCTGCCTGCCGCTTCATCGGGGATTAGAGTCATCTTTTTGTTGGCTATCACCCACAAGATATTTATCCCATTCAAGATGGTCCCTATAGAACAACGGGACACAGTATCAGCCAGCGGTGAAAATGCCCCATGTACTTTCAACTCACGACAGAACCTGTTGACCTGTGATGAGAAATGCATGGGTGATGACACGGTGGAGAATTGGTCATCAACATAGGCACCACTCTTAGGTCATAGGAGACCAGTACCAGCCGTAGTCATTTCGGAAAGAAGTTCACCATTAAAAAGGCCTGAATAAAGAGCTGATCCTAGGTACTCCGACCCATAGCCAAAACTATGCCTCCAGCAAGATTATTCGCTTCGCAGTCACCCTTGGGGGCCCGGATATCAGGGTCTCGGATGTCAACGAACGTTCCGGCAAGATGGAAGACTCCCTATCCCCATGGATTCGCCAACTAAACGAAGCTGTCGTTGATGTTTGTTTTGTTGTCGTTCCAGAACTTCAAGAAATCAGATAAGATTCGATGATCCGCTTTAATAGTACGTAATCACGTGAAAGCTCATATGATGGACTAACTTTGATCCGTGAATTAAGGTTTCAGAACTGCCGAGGCCCAGAACGGGCTTCCGAGCAGTCCATCCGTCATATATATTCTGTAAACATTTTGATTCAAGAAATTCATTTACCCACAGATCTACGGCGTGGCTAAAGCAGCTCTGGAGTTTCCGATTCTGTTAATGGTACCAATGAAGATGAGATGTCGTTAACAGCTATCAGAAATCGTGAGCGTCTATTGCTTTAGTGAATCGGAAACAAGGCAGCCCGTGCCCTCGGGCCATAACTACCGAGTAGCAGGTAGAGGTTAACTGATTATCCAGCCACGTGCAAAGAGGCTGCGGGTTTGGCTAAGTACCTCCCGGCCATGGTCGGTAATGGAGTCAAGCAAGGCTTGCTGTCATGAAAAATGCCCCCAAGGTTGGTATAAATAAAGAGCTCTATGAGGGGCTCAACTGTGTATTGGTTACACACGGACGTAAGCCCGGAGTTAAGGCTTCGGGCAATTTCTTGCTCACTAATACCCCATATAGCTAGTTAACCGCAAAACCCGGGCATCTTTCATACCTTCTTTGCAGTAAGATGGGGAAGAAGAACGGTTGTATGAATTAAATTTCTTGAATATCTCTATAACAGACTGCAATTACGTACGTGTTGCATCCTCGGCCACCGCAACTTCAGCTTGCCATAACAACACCTGGCAAGTGGTCGTCATCGAATATCCTTGTCAAGCTGCCTATAACAAACAGTATGGCAGCAAAGGCAGTGGCCGTTATCGCAGGCGTCGGCCCAGGGACGGTATGTTGGGTTCCATGCACCCTATGTATCCATTTCATAGCTTTTGTAACGCTAATTTTCCCCTATAACTATAGGGGGCTTCTATTGCTCGCCGCTTTGCTCAAAAGTACCCAGTAGCTCTGCTTGCTCGCAACCCAAAGAACTACGAGGGAGTTGTCGACGATATCACTAAAGGTGGTGGAAAAGCCGTCGGGTTTAGTGCAGATGTATCAGATGCAAGCAGCATTAATCATGCATTTGCGGAGATCGACAAGGCTTTTCCTGGTAGTCTGCTAGCAGCTGCTGTGTACAACGTTGGCGGAGGCCTTTCTGTAAAGCCGTTCCTGGAGCTGACCGAGGATGAGTTCACTCAGGGATTCAAAACTAATGGGTATCTGTTCATTTAATCCCGAGCAGTGGTCATAGCTATTAATTGATACCTTGGGCTAACTATTTCATTACCAAAGACTGGGAGGCTTCCATTTCTCTCAGGCTGCCATCCCACGGCTCCAAAAGGCGACTGAGCTGGAGCTTCCTCCTACATTGATATTTACCGGTAACTATTGGTACCTAAACATCTGAATAGTATACATTTGCATACTAATATTAGATCATTAGGTGCCACTGCAAGCCTCAAGGCGTCAGCAAAATTCTCATCGTTTGCGTCAGGCAAGTTTGCTTTGCGAGCTGTGGCGCAATCCTTGGCTAGAGAGTTTGGTCCTCAAGGCATACACATCTGTCATGCCATTGTTGATGGAGTTATCGACATTGAACGGACAAGCCATATCCAATTTAGCTCCCCTGATTCAAAGCTAAACCCTGATGCTGTAAGTATCCAGCTATCTGATACCAGGTCTTTTCCGCAGCCAGCTCTGCTCGATGTGCTAATTTATGAAACTAGATTGCGGAAACATACTGGCACTTACATTCCCAGCCGAGAACGGCATTCACACATGAGATTGATCTGCGTCCGTACGTAGAGAAATGGTAACTTACTTAACTTAGCTTCTCAGCCTATTTTCAAGCCTTTCATAATTGGTGGTGTATGCGGAAAATTGTCAACCTGTCTCTCTCCTAAGCTGCTACAACTGACATTGAATACTCCAAATTAAAAAGTTGTTGAACATTCCTCTAATCTAAACTGGAGTTCTAAGCTATGGTGCTCACGAACCATCCGTTTTCCTCATTGTATAGATCATAAGGAGTGACTCCACTCAGTACCGGGTACCGTGGTTGCCCATTCTTATCCGTACACCGCACTGGATCATCAATGCAAGTGGCCAACATCTGTCCTACTGCACGTCCCTCAAATAAAGCGCCGTGCAAGTAGCCGTAAAACTCCTGGCTTGTCGCCTCACCAGCAAAAAAGAGTCGGCCAACGTTTGCTCGGAGATTTTGGTGTGCCTGCAGACTGGTTGATGGGGGCCAGTTTGAATACGAGCCATAAGCCCTGGGCATAGTTAGTTATCAAATAGTCTATAATGATCCAAGGCCGCCTACATACCAGGGCTCCTGGTTCCATCGCGGATACCAAATATCAGTTGGGTCAGGGATGCTTTCTCCAAACATCGTCCGAAGAACTTTCATAATTTCTTCCTGGGTCTCCTGGTTCGTTTGGGCTTCGACTCTGCGTGCCTGTTTACCCACAACGGTGCCTACAAGGATTCCAGAGCCTTGGAGAGCACCTGGAAGATCTAACGGTTGGAAAAGAGGATAGTAACCTCTCTCGTGGGGGTCAGCGTACATAAGATACTGACTGTTTGGCCAGAACGCTTTGTCGAACTGGAGGAATATCTTGGTATATGTTCCTATCTCAAAACTTGAGATGGCAGATTTTTTCCAGTTAGGGAATGGAGGGTAGAATTGTACCACATCACGCTGTAAAACTCCCAGTGAAAATGTTGCAACTGCATAATCAGCTTGGACACAGCCACCGTCGTTGGTTACGACAGTCACACCGTTGTCCGTGTAGTTAACAACCTGAACAACGGTATTCAGGAGCAGTCTGGGGTCATTGGGCTGAAGGAATGTAGCAGCCTCGCCTCTAATAAAGGTGCCTAGTAGTTTCAAATAGCCAACTTGTCAAAAGCGAAACCCGGAAGAATAGGAGGGGTAACTTACTGTAGCCCCGCTGGTCATAGACGAAAAGGTTATCATCAGAAAAGTGTTTGAAAGTGGCGTTGTCGGCAACGGATGAGAAAACTGCAGAATTCTCCTCTGGAGTGAAACTAGATTCGAAGTCGCTGCCGAACCAGTCTGCAAACTGTGCATGTGCATTATTCGCAGCTGGATTCCATCCCATAAATCGAAGGGCCGCACGAACTGTCTTGTCTTGAATATTATTCTTTAACAGTGACCCAGCATGAGTAACCACCTTTTCCATAGCTGCTTGTGCATTGGCTATTATCTTGGAAAAATCATTTTTGCCGGTCTTATCGTATGTTGTTTTGTTGTCATAGTCTGTCGCCCTGTAGAGACGCGGTAAGCAACTTTAGTGGAGCATTATATTGCCAACAACTTACAGGGCTCGAAGCTTGTATTTTTTAGCCTTAATATAGCGTTAGTCAGTCCAGTCCAACAAACATCTGTAAATTGCTAGGTCAAGCTTTCCATACCAGCGTGAATATCGGATTTTCCGGGTGGTCGTCTCCGCCTAGCCCTTCAACCTATATTTGGCGTGATGGTTAACCCCGGTTTGCTTCGGTATAATATGGGGTTGATCTTAATTAAGAGCCTACCCAGTTTGCACCGGCCTCAACGGTATATGGGGACCCGTCTTTCTTCTTCCCAAACTTGACATTATGTAAACGCCCGCCGATTCTATCTTGGTATTCAACAATGACAAAATCTGTTATCGACTGGTTTGCAAGTGTTTGCTAAATTGAACAGGGTATCTTCTGTTAATTCCTTAAAAGTTCATTACAATGTAACAGTGAGGCAACGGGAGCCTACCGCAGCGGTAATCCCAGCAACACCTGCACCTCTGTATTCTGTAAGTATACCTCCACGAAATAATGACAAAATTGTCTGTGAAACATACAGGACTGCGACTTTCGTCTTTCGGCAAGCAGGTTCTGTCTGCCCATGCTCAATAGGTTTTCCATGGATGATAGGTATCCCAAGACAAGCTGCGAGAAACCCGGAATTGAGCCTCATGCTGACTGAGTATATTTCCAGCTAGTGGCAACCTAAAAGGGAGAAAATGACTAGAACAGGCGAGGTCTCAAGAGTACATTCAGCGCTCTAGATTGCAACGCACCCGCTCCTTGGGAAACATGAACGAAACCCGGCCATTCTGGAACGACAGTCCCATTTATAAGTCCTCTTTCACGAAGCCCCAAATTTGAGGCCTCGAGCGGGGGTACGGTCTACTTGATGGTCAGACCAAGCAGCAATCGGCTGCTTGCTAGCGAAGCAAAGCCATATGATATTACTGGCTACACACTGTCAGCTGGAGGGCATATCCGCGTTACATCAGCGGCTTGGTATGCAATAGGTAGTTAACTAGTTAACTAGTTCTCTCTTCGGACAGGACCTGTATTCTGGGGTCTCAAAAATTCAGGCGTGGTCCGCTGCAGCATGGGCGGACAGCCACCTTCCACAAAGCGACTCCGTTGCTTGACAGGATATAACACCCATCACTTATGGACCAAAATGGGACACAAGAGAGCTATTATACTCCGTACTGCTCAAGGACAAGGGCAGCAAGTGCGTCAACTTGCATCTCTCCCCACGGGGCGATGTCCATGTCACGCGGTCAGGACAAACCGAAGGCTGCCTCTGTGGCAGAAACATCACTAGGTCCCTCCTCCATCATTGCTGGCCCCCGCGCTGTCCAACATCGGAGCTCGCACGCCGTCAAGCAAGGCAATTCGGTGCGATCATGCAAGCAGGCTCCTTCATTGCGGGTTAGGCGCGCGAGGCGAACCAACCGCCCGCCTTTCTCCGTGTTTGTTGGATGCAAAAACATTGAGATCTCGACGTGGTTGAAAGCCGGAAAAAGCAACAACAAGAAAAAAGAAAAAAAAGAATAAATATGCTTATGTAACAAACGTCCCATTACATAATCTGGAGAAGAGCTCTATCACGTGATAATATTATCACCTGATCATTGACTAAGCAGAGAGTCAATAAACGCCGGGACAAACTTGGAAATATCAACGTCGAGCACAAACAGCCGAACAACTACAACTGTGACAGGACATAACAGCTTACTCTCCACGACTTCCGAAGATTTACCTCTCGATTCTAGCCAATATATCCCCACGTGGTGAGAGGAACCATGGTGTTGAATCCGCAACAAACAGGCTTCTCGGACGACTCGCCACCGTCGGATAGCGATTCATACTTCTCGAGCCCCGAGTATTCAGAAGGCGGACAGCTTTCTCGGTTTGCCAAATATCCCACACGAGTTGAATTGCCGCCATTTAGCCTCATCAAGCGGATATTTTACTGGACCGAGGCCAACTACCAACGAAGCATTAGCCGCCTAATCGAAGACCGCTTAGACTTCGTCCGCGTGATCACCAATCGGTTCCCAACCCAAGAAGAGACGGATGCGCTAGTTTCGCAAGCTTCGACTATGCAGAACATGCCTTGTTACGGAGGGGTTGTGGGCCTAGCTGTAGGATCGTTTATTGCAAAATCGAAAAATGCTGCAGAAGAGGCGGCCGCCAACAAGTCAGCCAGCGAACACTTTACTCCAAATCAGAATCGGCCCCTACTCAAGCTGAATCCAGGTGAACTGAAAGGCAGACTCATAAGAGCTTCATTTATATTGCCAATATTTGGATTTATTGGTCTCGTCTTCGGTGAGGTCGTCGGTGAGGCAGTTGCCAAAATCAACATGTCCACAGACTCCAGATTAGTTCCTTTGTTAAAGGAGGTTGGACAATTAGACCAGAAGGAGGTTATGGCTCGTATTAGGCGGCACAATGCAGAAAGATTAGCAGCGGCTCGTCGCCAACGTAACAATCTGCATCCTGCCTCTCAGCCTCAACGAGCGGAATATTATGCTGCCAATGATACCAGCCCTACGAACAGCTATGGTCAACAAGGAGCCACTGAATCTTCCTATTACCAGAGCCAGCCTGACATCCAGGCAGGATACAGCAACCAGTCAGCCATCGGGGATTCGAAAATCCTCAGAGAGACCTATCGACAGGGAGAAACCTCGGAGTATTCTACTTCATCTTCATATCCTAGTACAAATGATTATTCGAGAGATTGGAGACAACAGCAGACATACCCCCCCGCTCGTGACAGTTCTACTTCTAGTACAGAAGGGAAGAGTTTCTGGGATGATGATGCGAGCCCTGTAAGCTCAGAGTTCACATCTACTCCTGACTCATCGTCCTCCCCCGCCCCACACTCCGGAAGTGCCTGGGCGCGTATTCGCCAGCAATCCATGGGTGATTCTTCTGCAAACGCTGGGAATAATAACACTTCCTCATCAGGATGGTAGAGCCGCCAGATTGATGGTAGCGAGCTGCGCCTTATTACTATAATAAGACATAACGTATGTGTAAAATTTAAAAATATACCAATTCACTCTATATGTAACAATAGGCACAACAATGCAAAGTCTAGCATGATTCTCTTTATAACTGGAATTCTGTGGATAAAACATTAATCAAGCCCCCGATTCAATTGATTAATATCTACAATATATTTTGGCCCGTTTAGATAGACGGCGGCGAATAGCTAAAAGTGACCGGTGATAAAACGTAAATGGGTCATTGATAAGAATAATCGTAAGAATTTAGGTAGGATCAAATAGGGCAAAGATTAACCAAGCCCATGAATACTACTAAGACATCAACATAAACCAGAAAAAATCGCTCGAGAGATAGACATATGATCAGATCGTAAAATAGTTACCAAAATGGTCCAAAGAAAATTGGAAAATGAATAGAAATAGTAAAAAGGAATTGAGTAGTAAAATGGGTATCAGCATCTAATCAAGCACCCACATTAACTCACTTCAACAACTCAAACGCGAAATAGAAGAAAGGAATTAATTAAACTAGATTCTGTTCTCAATCGGACCGTTTATTGTCAGGCTCTCGTATGGAGAACACACATCCTGACGGTCTGAAGCAGGGGAACGTCCATTACGGGGTCGACTTGAGCTCCTCATGCGGTCAGTAAGGTTGCGAAACTTGAATTGTACATTATCGTTGACACTCCTGCCTCGTTTGTGGGGATCAGCAGATGCTCTCATGTTGCCCTCTAGCTGGTGCAGCGATTGCTGATGTGCGGGCAACGATGCTGCGCGGAAGTTGGGGTTCGGGTTAGGGGGCCCAAAAAGCCCGGGGCTGTGAGAATCATCAATCGCAATGTTTATCGTACCGACTCCAGAGATGAGGGAGTTTCGCCCTTCGTCATGCGTTGGACCATCATTTTGCACAGATGCAGCTGGCGGCGGTGGTTGGCGTGATGGAGGCGCCGGTGGAGGTGGTGGCGGCGGTGGTTGGCGTGATGGAGGCGCCGGTGGAGGTGGTGGCGGCGGAGGAGTAGCAGTGGCATGTAAATGCTGTAATTCTGGAAGGAGAGGAGGCGGTGGACCAGAGGGTATACGGGAATGTTCAGCTCGTAGGTTCTCTACTCGGGAATTTTCCAGTGTCATGCCCTCGTTTGACGGCTCACGTTTGTGACCTGGAGTTCGGTTTGTTCGGCTACTAGGAAGTTGACGCTGGAAATGAGGATGAGTTGGCATACCATCTTCCGCTGGAATTGGAGCAGACATGGAGCGGGGGATATTGAAAGATGGCCTTCTCTCATAGCTATAGAATGCATCCGGGGGTGGTACTTCAGGTACTTCAGGTGCGTCAGAGTCGTTGTATCCGGTGCTGTATTTAGGATGTCTCATAGCCCTTGGGGTAGCGGGAAGTCCAATTGGCATGGTGAATGGAACACGCTCATTTAGGCTAGATGGGGTAGGTCCTGTGCTTTTCGACATGGCCCTTTGGGTAAAAGAGCTATTGGATCTACCATGAGTTTGTGGGCCGGGGGAAGGAGAAGGACGACCAGAGAGAATTTGGTTGAGGCTTGCCTCTCCAGGGAGTGGGATGGGAGGAGCAGAAGGCCGACGAGCTAGAGATTGACGGCGAGCCTCAAGCTCCGCAGCAGCAGACCGTTTCCTGCCGTGTTCATCAAGCTGATTGTCAATTTGGTTATGACCGGACAGCTGTGGTTGGGGTTGCTCATCATTAGAGTTGTATGCCGGGTAGACTGGATCAGAACGATTGCCAGTTTCTCCACTGGTATCACTATCTTTTTCGGTTCCATTCCTCTGCTCAGATGAAGAATATCGAGGTGCACTCCTACTACGATCGTGACGTCTATTTGCACTCCGCTCTCTGGATTTATAACGCTGTTTCCGCTCGGCATTCAACAGCCTGAACCTGTGGTCAATATCTCCACTGCTTTCAGCGGGAGACATCGGCACAGGGGATGTTGGTGACCTTATTGAGCGATCGAAATCTCGGCGTCTGCTTGTGCTTCGTCCTGATACCCGGCTTCTAGCTCCAGGACTGTTGCTGCGCATTCGGCTACTCATCCTTCCGTTTCGCGACGGCGGCCGAACTCCAACGTAGTCTTTAGAAGAGGACGAGTAGAGAGCAATGTCCTCTGGGGACATGGGAATGGGCGATGATGGTGACCTCTTAGCTGGCTGGATATATCTCTGTTTGCTTCTCCCACGTCCATTAGGATCCTTCGAGCTTGCTCTTGAGCCAGATTTCTTGTGTGGCTTTTGTCTCTGAGCATGATAACTAGCTCCATCAAGGCTGCTAATATACTTGTCGAGACTTTTTGCACTTAATGGTACACTTGTACCTGACCTTGCACTTCTGGTAGAGGCAGTCGGACTCATCACGCCATCCCCCCTGTCACCATTTCGGCGGTTAGAGGACGGCTGTTGATAATACATTTCCTCCGATGGCGGATCCTCTGATGACTGATCGTCCACAGGAGGCCACTGTATCTGCAGCCCATCAGGTTTCCGGGATTGTGAGCCGTTGCTACTCCGCTGATTCTGTCCTAATGCAGTCTCCAGCTTGTTTTCCCGGCCCGAAGAGGAACT